GCCAGACTTGGTGGCTCAGCCTGTAATCCCAGTGCTTTGGGAGGCCGAGGTGAGCGGATTGCCTGAGCCCGCGGGTTCGAGACCTGCCTGGGCAACTAACCAGGTGTGGTAGCACGCACCTGTAGTTCCAGTTATTTGGAAGGCTGAGGCGGAAGGATCGCTGGAGCCCAGCAGGTCGAGGCTACGGTGGCCGGGAGCAACCACTGCACTCCAGTCTAGGTGACTGAGTGAGACTCCAACTCAAAAAAAAAAAAAAAAATTGTTAAAAGGATAAATTTTATGTTCCATGTTTTTTTACCATAATTAAACATTTTTAATTGGGAAAAAAGTTCTGATGAGCAGCTGAGAAATATACTTTTTTTTTAAGTTCCACAGATGATTCCAGTTTTTTAAAAAATATTTAAGTTGTTTGAAGTATGCAGAGACCTTCTTCATTAAATGGAGCTTCACGACGAGGCTTGAATATGGGGTCACATAAATGACCATACTTTGCTTTTGGAAAAGAATGGGACTGACATCTGTCCTTTAAGATCCTGTCTTGCCAGGCTCAGTGGCTCAGCCTGTAATCCCGCGCCTTTGGGAGGCTGAGGTGAGTGGATTGCCTGAGCCCGCGGGTTCGAGACCTGCCTGGGCAGCGAGACCTCATCTCTACAATAAATCAAAAAATCAGCCGGGCATGGTAGCACGCGCGTGTAATTCTGGCTACTCGGAAAGCTGAGGCGGAAGGATCGCCAGAGCCCAGCAGGCGAGGCTGCGGTGGCCGGGAGCGGCCACTGCACTTCAGTCTGGGCGACCAAGTGAGATTCCAACTCAAAAAAAAAAAAGATCCTGTCTTAACTGCCTGCCCAGTGAGTTGGTGCCGTGCTTTCTCTGTTCCCTAGCACAAGACCCCTTCCTGGCAAGTGTGTACCCCTAGAGCCATCACCTCTGGCTTTGACATGCCCCCTTGCTTGGCCACTTACCGTAATCACCTTGTTTTCTAGATCCACTCCTCCTGCCAAGCTGAACCCAAGGCCAGTGCCTTCCTCCTTGTGTAAGATGGTGACGTGGATGCTGTCTAATTGCTGCAGAAGAAAGCACATACACTTAAAATACACACATTTTACCGCAAGAGGATGAATGATTTAATATATGCTTTGACATCAGGCTGATTTATTATGTCAAGTCCAGTGTGGGCAGGCTCCAACTGACATCACCTCCTCAAATCTTAGTTTCATTGTCTGTAAAAAAAAGACTATAGTTTCAGGGAGGCTTAGAAGAAAATGAAATGTGTGTAAAACAGAAAGCATAGGTCTCTTTGTCTCTTACTCCATCCACGCCCACACTTGTGCAGACAGAGGAAGGTGTGACAAATTCTGCTGGAAATCCAAGCGTGTTAAATAAGGCAGCTCTACCATGACAGTGTGGGACAAGGGCAGGTCGTAGGACTTTGGGTCAAAAAACCCCAGGGACCCCTCTGTTCTGCAGGGGTTTGCTCCTTCTCCCTCCCTATTCCTCCAGGGGACACAACAGCAGCACTAAGGGAACCCAGCTGACATCTTGCCCCAGTGTGTATGCACGCATGTACGTGCACACACACACATCACACACACCACACACATCACACACACACACACACAGACACACAAACACACACACACAGACACAAATACAATACACACAGATACACACACAAACCACACACACACCACCAGACCCACGGAGACTAACACAGACATACACACATGCGCGCGCGCACACACACACACACACACACACACACACACACACACCACACACACACACACACACACATAGTATTTCCCAGCCTGGACGTAGGTTCACATGGAACCAGGACAAAGTCTGAGGCTTCCCTTTCAGTCTAGAGCTGGAGTCTCAAACTCAGATGCCTACAGGGGTCAGGCAGATCACGTAAATGAGGAAAATGAACTACATTTTCTCAGTGATGAGAACTGCAGAGAGCCAAAGAATACCTCTAACACACAAAGGGTCACCTGTTACACAGTACTACCAGATCATTCCCTTTGAAAAGTCAGAAATCCAAATTTTGATTCAGAATTTTTAATATCTAGAATTCAGTGGGTTTTAAAAATCACCATGCAAGCAAAATTTACCTGAAGGTGCATATAGCTCTTGGGCCACAAGTTAGCACCTTGGCGCTAGGGAATATACTTACATCAAAGAGTTTGCTTTTGGGGAGCCACCAGAGCACCTGACTTGCAGCTGTCCTTATGATCCTAAGATCTGGGGTCTCCAAAGCCCAGAAGGGATGCAGGGATGGGTGTCCCTCACTGCTCCCACCCAGGTCCCAGCACTAGCCCAAATCTCCCAACTTTTACCCAATATAAGCTTACCTGCCCTGCAGGGCAGGGCTAGAAAGTAAATGTCTTCCCATAACACCTCAGGCAAGACAGCTGCTTGCATCTACACACTTTTACCTCTGTTATTTCATTGTGCTGAGTCAGGCCTTGGGGGATGGTGGTCTGAGGTGACGACTGAGAACCACAGAGAAGGCACCTCAGCCCAGGGACACCTTGCGTTCATCAGACCTACCCTCTCCCTTGACCTGGGAACTGCAGCTTTGATGTCTCCCCATATAGGAAAGACAGGCTTCCTTATCCTCTCATTCCAGTCTGGATCATTCCGGAGCAAAAAACTTGTGTGGACCCTGGGCAGCCCTGCAGGGTGCCAGGCCCGTGAACCCAAGCTCATCTGACAGCTGGGGCCGGCTCTGCTCGGTCACTTCCTCTCCACACACCTTTGGGTCACGCACAGACAGCATGTAGGAAGTGAGAGATTCAGAATGACTTGACTGAAGTGTGGGGGCTCTTCTGAGCCCTAGGATCTGTCACCTTTCTGTGTGTAGTGGAAATAATAAAGCTCCAGGCTGCGAGCTCTTGTAACCCAACCTTTCTTTTTTTTTTTTTTTTTTTG